TGACTCACCTGAATGAAAGTATTTCTGATGTAATAGAATTCACCACTCTTTTTACTTTCAGTGTTCAAGAAGCCTGAAAATCCTTGTGAAAGAGGAGTTCCTTGAGAAGTACTAGATTCATAGGAACTATGCATTGATGAGCTTCTCCTAAGGCCTGTATAGACCATGAATCTGTGGCATGAACCCCCCTACAGGAGGTGGTCAAGGCAGCCCTCTAAAAATCAGGAAAAGATGACACTTATAATATTCTTCAGCAAATTCATATATAATACCTAAAAGACAGACAAGAATACAATTTGGGAGACAGAAAATGATTTTGTTTCAATATTCTCATCTCCCAGTTGAGAAATGGAGCCCAGAGATTTGGCTAGCAGATATATCTGGGGACACATGGCTTTGAGCCACAACAAATAGTGTACTTGGCCCTCCCTTCGTCAAGCACTGATGATCCAAGACAGGAGACAGATCTCCTGCCAGATGAGGATAGCCTGAAAGCACTTACCAAGGTTCGATAAAGAAAAATCAAGATTAGAGTGGAGAGAAAAAAGTGGTAGAAGGGGGCAGCACAATGAAACCACTGAGATCTCTCCAAACTCGTAAGGAAAAAAAATAAAAAAGAGAGGAATTTAGTCACTGCTCTTACTCTTCCCAAAGCATGAGAAACTAGAAACAAGGTCTTTAGAAGGATGTAATGGTCTGAGGTATTTAATAAAAGAAGCAATCCTGACAAAACACACTCCAGCTCAAATAAGTACCGCAAAGTAACTGAGAGTCATATGGTAAGTATCTCTTGGGAGACATGTGTCCCAAGTGCATCCCACAGATAAGGATTTGAATGAAGCTGATTTCTTTCAGACAAGTGTCTTGGATATGAGAAATTTCTGAGACAAAAAGCGTACGGAAAACACATTCCAGTCTCCAAAAATAAGATTTTAAAAATTTTTTTTTGAGGTATTTAATAAAAGAAGCAATCCTGACAAAACACACTCCAGCTCAAATAAGTACCGCAAAGTAACTGAGAGTCTTGGGAGACATGTGTCCCAAGTGCATCCCACAGATAAGGATTTGAATGAAGCTGATTTCTTTCAGACAAGTGTCTTGGATATGAGAAATTTCTGAGACAAAAAGCATACGGAAAACACATTCCAGTCTCCAAAAATAAGATTAAGGTTTTTTTTTTAATGTGCAGTTCCTTGATGGAAGGAGCAGTTGCATATCTTCTTCTTTTCTACAGAAACAGAGAATTCAGGACACAAACACTGTTGCTACACTTCCAGGGTTTTCTGACACAATGGATACAATCCAGCACTTTTCTGTTTACCTGAATGCTACGTATTGTTTCTGAGCACAAACTGTGCTCTGTAGGATTGAAGATGCCCAAAGATCCTTAATGCAATAATAATGGACAACTGCCCTGAAGCTAAATGCCTTATCTGGAGATGTCCTTTTTGCAGACTGCTACAAGTGCAGAGCCACCCTGAAGCTGTCACTCAAAACAACTGGAAAGAAGGCATCTTGGAGAGTCAAATCTCGGCAGAATCTCTGAAGATTTACTCTGAATCACCAAAGGAAGGTTACCTGGCCAAGTAAGGACCAACTGGCCAACTGGAACAGAAACTCTCAGTCAGATCTGTGATATTTTTAACCCGTGGTGGGTCCAAATGACCGTCATGCACAGTATCAGTCTCAGTTCATCCTCTATAGACGAGGCATTAACAACTGTCAGTATCTAAGATTTGGCAAGAGTACTTCTGGCTCATCTATACGAAGACAACGCTCTGGATTAGCCAGCTGTTCAGGTAGAAATACTGGCACTCTAATCTTTCTATGGTGTACCAGATTACTTGTATTCAATTAGTAAAGTTTGCTGCTCACGCACTGATAATTTACTATGAAAATGAGCTATTTTTGATGCTTAGAGTATCTCCGTAAGCGTACAGACATCTCCAGGACATCACCTTCTCTTTCATTCAGAGAAGCAAGGCAGTGCAATGTGCTCTACTGCTGCACATTCTCAGTACTTTCTCCAACCCGTGGACAGGCTGCTGCATCGCACAGAACCTGAAGTTTGTCATCTTCACCTTTATACTTCGTTATACAGGCAAGTAATGATCCAATCTGAGGGCAGTGATGAAACATGAATCACTGTAGCCATAATCTACTTTTACAGGAAATGAGTTTCTCACA